GAGGAGCTGGTACCATTCCTTCTGAAACTATTCCAATCAATAGAAAAAGAGGGAATCCTCCCTAACTCATTTTATGAGGCCAGCATCATCCTGATACCAAAGCCTGGGAAAGACACAATAAAAAAAGAGAATTTTAGACCTTGATGAATTTTAGAACCTTGATGAATATCCTTGATGAACATCGATTTGAAAATCCTCAATAAAATACTGGCAAACCAAATCTAGCAGCACATCAAAAACCGTATCCACCTTGATCAGGATGGCTTCATCCCTGGGATGGAAGGCTGGTTCAACACATGCAAATCAATAAACATAATCCATCACATAAACAGAACGAAAGACAAAAACCACATGATTATCTCAATAGATGCAGAAAAGGCCTTCGACAAAATTCAACAGCCCCTCATGCTAAAAACTCTCAGTAAACTAGGTATTGATGGAATGTATCTCAAAGTAATAAGAGCTATTTATGACAAACCCACAGTCAATATCATACAATATGGGCAAAAACTGGACGCATTCCTCTTAAAAACTGGCACAAGACAGGGATGCCCTATCTCACCACTCGTATTCAACATAGTGTTGGAAGTTCTGGCCAGGGCAATCAGGCAAGAGAAAGAAATAAAGGGTATTCAATTAGGAAAAGAAGAAATCAAATTGTCCTTGTTTGCAGATGACTTTATTGTATATTTAGAAAACCCCATCATCTCAGCCCAAAATCTCCTCAAGCTGATAAGCAACTTCAGCAATGTCTCAGAATACAAAACCAATGTGCAAAAATCACAAGCATTCTTATACACCAATAACAAAGAGATCCAAATCATGAATGAACTCCCAGTCACAATCGCTTCAAAGAGAATAAAATACCTATACCTAGGAATCCAACTTACAAGGGATGTGAAGGACCTCTTCAAGGAGAACTACAAACCACTGCTAAATGAAATAAAAGAGGACACAAACAGATGGAAGAACATTCCATGCTCTTGGATAGGAAGAATCAATATTGTGAAAATGGCCATACTGCCCAAGGTAATTTATAGATTCAATGCCATCCCCATTAAGCTACCAATGACTTTCTTCACAGAATTGGAAAAAAACTGCTTTAAAGTTCATATGGAACCAAAAAAGAGCCCTCATTGCCAAGACAATCCTAAGCCAAAAGAACAAAGCTGGAGGCATCATGCTACCTGACTTCAAACTATACTACAAGGCTACAGTAACCAAAACAGCATGGTACTGGTACCAAAACAGCATGGTACTGTTACCAAAACAGAGATATAGACCAATGGAACAGAACAGAGTCCTCAGAAATAATACCACACATCTACAGCCATCTGATCTTTGACAAAACCTGAGAGAAACAAGAAATGGGGAAAGGATTCCCTATTTAATAAATGGTGCTGGGAAAATTAGCTAGCCATAAGTAGAAAGCTGAAACTGGATCCCTTCCTTACTCCTTATACAAAAATTAATTCAAGATGGATTCATGACTTAAATGTTAGACCTAAAACCATAAAAACCCTAGAAGAAAACCTAGGCAATACCATTCAGGACATAGGCATGGGCAAGGACTTTATGTCTAAAACACCAAAAGCAATGGCAACAAAAGCCAAAATTGACAAATGGGATCTAATTAAACTAAAGAGCTTCTGCACAGCAAAAGAAACTACAATCAGAGTGAACAGGCAACCTAAAGAATGGAAGAAAATTTTTGCAATCTACTCATCTGACAAAGGCCTAATATCCAGAACCTACAAAGAACTCAGACAAATTTACAAGAAAAAAACAACCCCATCAAAAACTGGGCAAAGGATATGAACAGACACTTCTCAAAAGAAGACATTTATGCAGCCAAGAGAGACATGAAAAAATGCTCATCATCATTGGTCATCAGAGAAATGCAAATCAAAACCACAATGAGATACCATCTTATACCAGTTAGAATGGCGATCATTAAAAGTCAGGAAACAACAGATGCTAGAGAGGATGTGGGGAAATAGGAATACTTTTACACTGTTGGTGGGAGTGTAAACTAGTTCAACCATTGTGGAAGGCAGTTGTGGTGATTCCTTAGGGATCTAGAACTAGAAACCATTCTAACCCAGCCATCCATTACTGGGTACACACCCAAAGGGATTATAAAACCATGTTGCATAAAGGACACATGCACACGTCTGTTTATTGTGGCACTATTCACAATAGCAAAGACTTGGACATCAACACAAATGTCCATCAATGGCAAGAGCTGGATTAAGCAAACATGAGCAACCGTTACACCATGGAATTACTATGCTGCCATAAAAAGGGTGATTCATTCCTTTGTAGGGACATGGGTGCAGCTAGGAAACCATCATTCTCAGCAAACTATCGCAAGAAGATAAAACCAACACGCATGTTCTCACTCATAGGTGGGAATTGAAAAGTGCCCAATGAGATACAACTTTGGACACAGGAAGGGAACATCACACACCGGGGCCTTGTTGTGGGGTGGGAATCGAGGGGGGAGGTGGATAGATTAGGAGATATATCTAATGCAAATGGATGAGTTAATGGGTGCAGCACACCAACATGGCACATGTATACATATGTAACAAACCTGCACGTTGTGCACATGTACCCTAGAACATAAAGTATAATAATAAAAAAAACCCCATATATTCCTTTTCCCAAATTATTATGTGTATTAACAGACATGTTATAAAGAATATAAGACTAAAGAGAAATGTTTATGTTTACTTTATAGGTATTGGTTTGCCTTGAAAAGGGGTTACCATGCAGCTTTTATGTATGACAGCAATACTACTAACTTCATGGAAGAGCAAATCGATCTACATAAAGAAGTTATAGATAGAGTGACTGATTTGAGCATGCTCAGACTATTTGAGACCTACCTGGAAGGCTGCCCACAACTTATTCTTCAACTCTACATTCTTCTGGAGCATGGACAAGCGAATTTCAGTCAGTGTAAGTTTTTCTTAACTCCTTGTGTTAGATGGATGCCACTGAGACCTTATGTCAACTATATAAATCTTTGGCTGACTTTAGAAATTTTTAATACTTCAAAAATCATTTATTCTTTTGAAAAGGAAGTACAGTAATATGGTTGAAATATCAAAAAATATATGGATATATACTGTATCCATCTGCCCAGAAAAAAAACTACTATTGTTAGTTATTTGATGATTCCTTCAGAAAAGTTTTTAAAGCATATGTCCTTTTTTTTTCTTTTTTCCTTAACACAAATGGTAACATAAAATAAAAACTGTCTTTGTTTTTTGTGCCTCATAGTATATCTTGGAGATCCGTTCATATTAGTACAGAAAAATTTCCCACATTCATTTTTATTTTCTGCATTGTGTTGCAAATTATGAATGTACCATAATTTATTTAACAAGCTCCCTATTTGTGTTATTTTAGGTTGTTTCTTATATTTAACCATTGAAAAAATGCTGAAACGAGTAATCTTATGCATAAATCGCTTGCATGTAAAAAGTATATCCATTGGGTAAATTCCCAGAAGTGGAATTACTGGGTAAAAGTGTAAATACTGAAAAACTAATGAATGTTTTGCAAGTTGGCCAATGTGTTTTTCTGTTTTACAGTAGATTTGCTCATTAAGGTAAAAATGTTCATTTTTTAAAGAAAAGTTTATTTCTATCTTCCTTTTTGAAAAGTCCTTTTATAGGTAATTAACTTGAGATGTTAAAAAATGATTTATTTGCTAAATAATAGTCCCAAATTGCATTAATGACTAGGGTTCCATTTATTCTGGGATTCATTTCAGGGAGTAAGATTGTTATCTTCCCTGGAGTTCTTGCTGTCCTAGACTCACACATGGTATCAGTTAAACAGTGTCTCTGTTCCCATTTTCTTGTAAACCTCTAGTACATAGCCCCTTCTAATATTTTTACCTTTACTTTGATTGTTAGGAAGACAAAATGATTGTGTGTATGAGATCTCTATTGTGTGTGAGATCTTTTTTTTTTGATGCAAATAATTCATGGGTTGGGTTCTATGTGATGCAGAACCCTTAACAGTTCTGTATTATATAGTTCTGAAGTTAGAAGTTCAAAATGTAGACCTTACAGCCTGTATTATGGGAGATCTTATGATGATTCCCAAGGATACATAGCATCTGGACTATCTATGAGATCCAGTGATAGCTATCTTTATGTTCAGTTTTCATCTATATAGTTTCTTATTGAAGTAGGAAATTGAGATAAGTTATTCAAAAATAGCATAAAATGAGATATAATTCAATTGTCTAACAATAGAGAAATTGGTAAATAAATTATTGTAGGCTGTTAATATGGAACATTATGTAGCCACTAGAGTGTTTACAAAGAACTTTTAATGACACAAGAAAGCGATTATAACATAGAATGTAGCCAAAAAACAGTTTATAAAATTTTCTGGCAGCACATTTTTAAGGTTACAAAGAGATTATTATATAGAAAAATATCTGGAAGAAAATATGCAAAATGTTAAGTGTGTCTGCTTCTGGGTGGAGGAATTATGAATGATTGTTTTCATTTAAAAAATACTTTTCTGAATTTCCAAATTTTCTGTAGTAACTATGTATAAAATTATGTTATATGAATTCTGAAATTAAATCAGTAACAAAAAACCTACCAACCAGAAAAAACCTTAGACCAAATGGATTCATAGCTGAATGCTATCAGATGTATAAAAAAGAGCTGGTATCAATTCTACTGAAACTATTCCAAAAAATTGAGGCGGGAATCTTCCCTAATTTATTCTCTGAGGTCAGCATCATTTTGATGCCAAAACCTGGCAGTGACACAAGAAAAAAAGAAACTCTAGGCCAATATCCTTGATGAACATAGACACAAAATTCCTCAACAAAGTGCTGTGATTATGGCGTGAGCCACCGCACGCAACCTACAATCATTTTGTAGTTTTTGTCATGAGATCTTTGCCAAGGCCTATGTCCAGAATGGTATTTCCTAGATTTTCTTCTAGAGTTTTTATAATTTTACATTTTATGTTTAAGTTTTTAATCCATCTTGAGTTGATTTTGTATATGGTAAAAGCAAGGGGTCCAGTCTCAGTGTTCTAAATATGGCTAGCCTGTTATCCCAGTACCATTTATTGCATAGACAGTCTTTTCCCTGTTGATGTCTTATTTAGTGAACATGGGAGTTCTCTACTTTCTTCACTGATGTCAGTACTTAATGCCAAATAAATTAATAAAAATCTCTGAATTAATAAGTACAGAATTAAGAATAATGTCATTGGACAAAGTTATTTTAGACTGGGGAAAAGGCATAACAAAGGCATAGTTTGACAATGGCACAAATTTAGTTTGAACAGAGTGTAAGATACAGGTTAGGGCAGCAATATGATAGAAAAAATGTTAGAAGCAGGTAGGAAAGTGGGAAATTGGCAAAAATGTCAAATAATAATGTCAACTAGATGAGAATAGACCATCGTGCCCTCACATTAGGAATGAAAGACCTGTTGACATCTGAAAGACAATTTAGTGAATAAATGTTAAGATCAGGTACACTGCCTTGGAATCCTAGCTCCGCCACTCACTAATCTTACATATTGAAGCAAATCATGTAAACATTTCCCCTATGCTTAAACTAAATGTAGTCTCAACTTAGTTTCCCTTAGCCACATCCCCAAAATGCCCACAGTCACTTGAACATACTAGGGGAATATGTGAGAGAAAGTAAGCAAGAGTAGAAAGAGACAGGAAATTTAATCAACTGCAATTAAAATGTCTTATTTTTGCAAATTTTATAAAAATACGTGACAAAGTGAACACATGAGGCTTAGCTAGGGTTGGAAGGAGACTGGGCAAGTAAGAGTCCCTGAAATTTTAGCTTCACCATCTTATTGATATATTCATCTTTGAGGTAACAATATTGATTAGCCTTAAACTTTGATATGCTTAATATTCATGTTATGATTTCTAGAGAAATCACCAAAGAATAAAAACAGGGCATATCATTAAAGGATATGAGTTATTAGATTGAAAGAGTGAATAAAAATAGCTCACATCAAGCACATCATTATATCATTTCAGAGAAGCAAAGAAAGATGATTCTAGAAGATTTGAGAGGAAAAAAAAGGTAATGTACTAAAGATAGAAAAACTGAATGGCATGAAATTTTTAACCATAACAGTGAAATTAAAACATAATAGAACAGTAAGTTTAAGGTTTCAATGGAAAACTTTTTTTTTTTAATTTTTAATTCTATTTCTAGCAAAACTGTATCAAGTATGAGGGTAGAATTAGGATGTTTTGAGGTATACAAAGTCTCAAAAAATTTTGCTTCTGAGAAATTTTTTTCTGGAAGGCCTGACAAAAGTTTAATCAAAACGTGAGAGTAAACCAAGAAAGATGATAGGAGAACAAGGAAATAGGAAGGCAATGTAGAAGAGAGGTGAAGGGAAGTTGCAGGAAGATTGGAAGCAAGACTTCAGAGCAACTGGCTTAGAGCGGGAGGATAGTGTTCTAAAAAACCAGAAAAATAAAGAACTAGTAGATGTATATAGAAGAGTTTTATTAATTTGAAGATTTTGCTAAGAAATAATTATAGGGTTATGGAAACTAACCAAGTAGGGAAACAAGGCAATTGTCAACTCCAGGAATAATGAAACATTTTAAAAGAAAGGAAATATAGTGTGTGTGTTTTTTTTTTTTTTTGAAAAGTAAGCAATAAAAACACTGCACTTATGTAGTTATAACAATGTGTATTAGTTCATTCTCATGTTGCTATCAAGAACTGCCTGAGACTGGGTAATTTATAAAGGAAAGAGGTTTAATTGACTCACAGTTCTGCAGTGCTGTGGTGGGGGGTCCTCAGGAAACTTACAAACATGGCAGAAGGGGAAGCAAACATATCCTTTTTCACATGGTGACAGGAAGAATGAGAGCTGAATGAAGGGGGAAGCCCCTTATAAAACCGTCAGGTCTTGTGAGAACTTACTATCATGAGAATAGCATGGGGGAAACTGCCCCTGTGATTGAGTTACGTCTACTGTGTCGCTTCCATGACATGTGGAGCTTATAGGATTACAATTCAAGATGAAATTTGGGTGGGGACACAAAGCCAAACCATATCATTCCTCTCCTGGCATCTCCCGAATCTCATGTCCTCATACTTCAAAACACAATCCTGCCCTTTCCAGCAGTCCCTCAAAATGTTAGCTCATCCCAGCTTTAACCTAAAAGTCCAAGTCTGAAGTCTCATCTGAGACAAGGCAAGTCCCTTCCACCTATGATCCTGTGAAATCAACAGCAAGTTAGTTACTTCCTAGATACAATGTGGGTACAGGCATTGAGTAAATACACCCATTCCAAATGGGAGAATTTGGCCAAAACAAAGGGGCAACAGTCCCCATGCAAGTCTGAAATCCAGTGGGGCAGTCAAATCTTCAAGCTCTGAAATGATCCCCTTTGACTTCATGTCTCAGATTCAGGTCATGCTGATGCAAGAGGTGGACGCCTATGGCCTTTGGCAGCTCTGCCCCTGTGGCTTTGCAGGGTACGTCCCCACTCCAGGCTGCTTTCCTGGGCTGGCGTTGAGCGTCTGTGGCTTTTCCAGGTGCCCTGTGCAAGCTGTTGGTGGAGATACCATTCTGAGGTCTGGAGGATGGTGGCTCTCTTTTCACAGCTCCATTAGGCAGTGCCTCAGTGGGGACCTTGTGTGTGGGCTCCAACCCCACATTTCCCTTCTGCACTGCCATAGCAGTGGTTCTCAGTTAGGGATCCACCCCTGCAGCAAACTACTGCCTGGAAACCAAGGCATTTCCATACATCCTCTAAAATCTAGGTGGAGGTTTCCAAATCTCACTTCTTGACTTCTGTGCTTCTGCAGGCCCAGTACCACTTATAAGGTGCCAAGGCCTGGGACTTGCACCCTCTGAAGCAATGGCTTAAGCTTTACATTGGCCCCTTTTAGCCATAGCTAGAGCTGAAACAACTGGGA